GATGGTGTTGCTATTTAGCGAGATAACCCATATGGTTACGTTTCCGTTTCCATTGTAGCAGCGTCTTTTCTAAAAATATTTTAAAGAGTTTTGGTGATAGACAGCAACCCTGTTGCAGTCCTTTATTTGGTATGAATCCACTGGAGACTGAATTTTTATTTTTATATGTTTTTTTTATATATTTCTTTAACGTCTTTAAATTATTGTAGCATTGATGTTTGTTGTCTCCAGTATCTCCCACGGTTTAACAAGCGGAACTTTGTCGTACGTTTTTTATGTCAACGAATAGTAGATGGATTTCCTTATTAACAGCTGAATTTTTTGTGTGATACAAAAGAGGTGGTGGACAGTTGATCTTACTGATAGAAATCCAGCTTGTTTTTCAGCTTCATAGTCAGTGAATTCGTTAAAATAATTTTATTTTTTGAATAAAAAAGGATAGTCGATACTAGAATAAATTTAGACAGAAAAAAAAAACAGAAATAATCCAGCGATTAAAAGAGAAACCAAAAAAAATTAAAGCAATTTTTTTTTTTTATTTTTAAAGTAAAATTTCTAGAATATTTTGGTGTTATTTTAAAACCGGCATAGAGAAAATATATTTTTTTTTATCGAGAACTACCAGCCTTGAAAATATTTGCACCCCGTATAGGTGAAACATTAGATGAATAATACGTTTTCTTTTGCAACGCCCCTGCTGAGACCTAATTTTTCTCAAACTTTTTAATATTTCTGTTAACTGATTTCGAGATAGACATCCAAAACAGAACTTGGAATGTTACACCACTCTGCCAATTTCTGTTATCCTAATAAATAAAATGTATCCAAATATTCCCGACTATGCAGTAAAGTGATCTTAGAAATCTCTCCGGCTTTGTCTGTCGGATGATATGGAGGTACTAACCGCAGATAAAGCATTGCATTAGTTAAAAATGATGTGTAAGTAAATAATAGTACAAGCTGAGTGGACAAAATGTTAGATTTTGTTCAACGATCATGCGCCTGTGTCTTTAATCTTTTATCAGTTAAACTGTTTCTAGTCGTTTTTATAGCATGATTTCTTGCTCTCACGATCTTTTCTCCTAAATTCTTTTTCAGAAAAATGTTTTTTATATTCACGGTATTTCAGCCATTGTTTCTCCTAATAGAATGCATATAAATTATTTTTATTTATTAATAAGCTAGAAGAATTCCTAAAATCTTATTTAACTAGTGTCTGGAGTGTGATTGATATAATATGTTTGTTGTATAATGATTTTTATAATTTATAGAAGAGGGGTGAATACTGTTTCTTAAATGAAGGATATGGAGGGGATCTCTGAATAATAGGATTATAGGAATATGCAGGAGGTTAATGCCGTTGAAACTGGCTCCGCAGTTTTTGAAAAGGGTTCGATATACAATATCTCCCCGGAACGTCTTTACAAGAGGAAAACCTTTTTTATGATTAATGTTTTTCTCTAAATCGGTATGAAATTTTGCTTGTTCTAAAATGGTTAATCCAATTTATACTTTTCCTCATTTCTCATCCATACCGATTTAGAGAAAATTAAAAAAAAACATGAAAATATGATTGAATTTGAATCTGAAAACTGAAGTGAAAACACGTTACGATGGTTAATATCATTTCGTCATTATTCTTTGATAGATGGTTATTATTAATTTTGACCAACGTCATATTTTTTGCTGTTGTTAAAGTATCACCTTCCGATAACTAGTATCACACTTTCAGTAGCCTTGAACTAAATAAACTTTGTGCTTCTTTAACATTTTAGAACATCAAAAAATATAAAGATAATCAAAGTTAATAACAATTAATTATTTTGGCGTTTTGATTTTTATAATATAAGGAAAAAACGAGGGAAAAATTCAACCATATTTTGATTTTTTTTTATTTTCTCTATATCGGTATGGACATTTGCAAAAGTATAGACGGGGTTAACCATACTAGAACAAAAGCGAAAAATTTTTATAAAGAATGAAGTTTTCTCAAAATGTTAATGTTTAATATAACTTAATATAAGTTTAACCAACATCCACTACTTATACAAACATTACTGACATGTATACATGCATATAAAATAAATAATAACACAAGCCTGAGTGTTTGCAGTTATAACAAACTAGTGTGTCATGAATTCCCTATCATATACGCCAGGAGACTTTTCTGGCAGTATTTGTGCTGTAGCCGCCTCTGCCTGGTTAATATTTTTTTGCGGATGATCTTCCTGAATCATTTTTCTTTAAAATCTGAGTTGCTGGTTGATAATTCACTAATTTATCGTTAAACAATCTCGTCTTAATGTCAGTGCTGATTATTATTTACAAAAAAACAAAACGCACATCTATATTGCATAGTAACATAAACGCACCCTGATAATCCTTTTAAATCAATTATTCTTTAGAGATTGGACATGAAACAGTTCTGCTGTTGGATAAAATGTTGTATGGCACTCGTGTGTCGCGTATTATAACATAGAATATGAGAACATCATAAATCAACATAATATGAGAACATCATAACTTGAGAAAATTAGCCTTCTCGGCCTACGGCCTCGAGGACTAAACATTTCCCAGCGTGACTTGTTTATAAGATAACACACTAGTATACCATAAATAACTATTTTCCTCTTGTATAGATGATTCGAGGCCATAGTGTGCGAACACAGTGCAAGCAGGTTTCCCGCTTTCCGGTAGTCGGCGCCAATCTGGGTACCTATTCTTGACATCGTTCGCAACTTTGCGTATACGCATCACGTGTATTGTTATAAACAGGGTATCCCAGGAATAAGTGCAAGTATTTTAAAGGGTGGTAGATCTCGATAAAAGAAACATATTTTCTCTTTATCGTTTTTCAAATAAGTCCAAAATAACGCAGTTATTTTACTTTGAAAATTTCCAAAAAAAAAATGATTTTTTGCTAAAATTTTGAGAACCCTCTTCTTCATGTGTCTTCTCCTCATCGGAGGTTGGCGACCATCAATTGGAATTCCTCCCTGTCTTGAGCCAAACCGATAATTGCACTGGCCTCTCCTATATTAAACCACTGGCGCAAATTCCGCAACCAGGTAAACCGTTTACGCCCGATGCCTCGTTTCTCATTCAATCTTTCCCTCAACGATCAGCTGTAGGAAACTATATTTGTTATTTCGAAAAATATGACCAAAATATGCTGCTTTCCGTCGTTTTATTGTAGTCAATAGTTCTTGGACCTTACACATTCTTTCCAATACTTCGAGATTTGTTTGAGAACCACTGGATCTTTTCTGGATTTTCTTTCTTGTAAATTTAATCTACTACCTATGTTGCCATATTATTAAGAAATTATGGTTTTTACATAAAAACAAAAAAAAATACCAAAAAATTTTTCAAAAAATTCCGATTTTTCAAGAAAAAATTATTTAGAAAAAAACCTCATAGACGTGTTTCTGGGGTTGAACTATACTACCAGTTAAGTTGATCCAGACGATCCAAAGAGATTTGATTTAATTTAAAATATCAGAGATATTCTTATAAAAATTAAAATTCAAAATTATCAGGTGCCCATATTAGTCGACGCCGGCGCCGTGGTAACCGTGCTTGTTGATTGTTTCCATTCTGACTTTGACAACTCAATTATTGATGTTCAATTTTGTGTTAAACGTTCAGGATGTTCAGTTTTAGCAAAAAGCAAAAAATAATATTAATATGGGTGATTCTGATTCTGAAAGTGTCCCTTCGGATATTGAAGGGTTTGCGCAAAACGTTGTCGATTCCCTACGTCCCGAAAAATCAAGTCAAACGTACGAGCAAGCCTATGTAAAATTTGAAGATTGGTATAAAGGGAAGAAAATCAAGAATAGTAACGAATCGTAACGGAAAGGTTCTCTTGGCATATTTTGAACATCTTTCAAAACATAGGAAGGCTTCATCACTTTGGGTATATTATTCCATGCTACGTTCAGTTATATCAGTGAAGAAAAATACAGATATTAGTAAGTACGTCCATTTAATTGCATTTCTAAAAAGAAAATCGGAAGGATTTCGGTCAAAAAAATCGAGAATTTTAAGAAAAGAAGACATAGCTCGTTTTTTGTTGGAAGCCGATGATGAAACTTATTTCCTGACAAAAGTTTCATTGATAGTGGGACTTGCGGGAGCCTGCCGGCGCGGCGTATCGAGTTGACAAATCTGCAGCTGCAAAATGTTAAAGATGAAGGACAATGCATTCATGTCATTATTCCATTTACGAAAACAAAGATATCACGAGATGTTTTTATAACGAAAGGGAATGTTGAAGGAATAAATATGGTGGAAATGGTTCGAAGATATATAGCTATGCGGTCAAGCAACACAGAGTATACTCGATTTTTTGTGGGGTACAGAAATGGAAAATGTATTAAGCAACCCGTTGGCATTAATACTTTAGGGAAAATGCCGTATAAAAATGCATTGTTCTTAAGTCTTCCAAATCCACAACAATACACTGTACATTGTTTCCGTAGATCATCTGCGTCGTTGCTTGCAGATTCAGAAGTGGATTTATTAACTGTTAAAAGACATGCTGGTTGGCGCTCTAACACAGTGGCAGAGAGCTATGTAGAAAATTCCAAAGAAAATAAGAAAAAAGTGTCATGTAATATTTTAGGTAACATTTCTGGCAATGATGGGTCTTCAACAAGTTCAAGCACTCAGGAAATAAATTTACTTTCTAAAAATTCAACTCACCTGTCATCGTCTGGAATTAATTTAACCAATTGTACTGATATTATATAATTAATGTTTACAATAAATAAACGTATTTAGGTACCTTTTTTTGGTTGTTTCTTATTTTAAAATTTGCGTGCTATTATGAAAGCCACAATGACATCCAAATGATAATCTTTTGGGTGTAAATTGTCGTAGATTAATTTTATTATAATACAGTGTGTCCAAGAATAATGCACATATTATGTGGAAAACAAATATTACCAAGAAATGATTTGTTTTCAACTTTGCTAATTATTATTTTTATTTTTAAGGAACTCATTGGAACCTTAGAAAACAGTTATGCCGAAATAAAAAAGAGACGCGGAGAAAGACTACAAACGTTAGAATTAGAAGAAGCAGACCTGAAAAAGAAATTCCTAATTGTGAAAAAGCGGCTGAAAAATGATTTGGCTTTAGATGAATTGAGATTAAGATTTCTCAGCTCTTGCTCAAATAGTATTTTGGAATATTTTCAAAATCTGTTATCTAAAGGTCAGCATCTTGTGTCTTTGTCTGTTACGTGCACGAAGTTTGAGACAGAAAGAGAAAGGATTACGAAATGGATACCGATTACTGAGATAACTTTGTCCAGGGATGTAGATGGGGGCTTAACCGATGACGAGAAATTGTACCAAAGGGCTGTAGAAAAAGGTTTTTCATTACGTAAGTGAAAATAATTTTATTGATGTACTTCATACGTACAGGGTGTCTCACTAAGAATAGCTCTCGGCTGTATCTCTGAAAGTATTAGCGTTCTTATTAGGGCTTACGGAAAAAAAATATTTATAACTAAAGGGACTATGAGAAATTGCTGGAAATTATTTTCAAGTTTTAAAAACGGCCGCTAGGGGACGCAACTGCTATGGAAAATAAGAAAATAGAATTTTTACAGAATTTTGCCTAGATAATGAGTACTATAAATAATAGCTTCATAATCTTCACTAAATTTTGGATTTTTTTTGTTAGAACCATTCTCCCCTATCTGCTAAAATAAAGTGGTGGGGGAAGGTTAGATCTGCCTTTATTTAAATGTTAATAACTCCGGACTCTGGATTATCAGAATGCAATAAACGAGGGCTCGCTTAAAAGAGCGTTTCTTACTCTATATTATACCGTATGATCGAATAAAAACGGCGTCAACGATGGCTATGAAATGAAGATCGCTGACATTTTATATGTAAAATTAACGCCGTTTTTTTTCGATCATACGGTACCATAAAAATGATAATAATAAGGTTTTGAACATAGACGCTAGGGGGCGCTTTCTTACAATTTAACAAACATAGCGCGTTTGTTCAAAAAAATGAAATACGATAGTATATGTTATTTTAGCTGATAGTAAAGAGTAGTAAAAGCTTAAAAAGTCAGCGAAAACGCATCTTGATATCTTCTTTCAAACCGAAGATATTAGCAAAATTATAATAAATACCAAAAAATAAGCCCTTAATTACCTTATTTTTACCACACGGTATCAGTAGCCCTCTTGATTATGCCCATTCTAACAAAAAAATAAGATAGAAACGGTTAGTTTATTTTTAAATGGATGAAATACCAGAATACCATAACACCAGATGTATTAATATCTAATAATACAGTGAACAACGATGACTCAGTGAAGTCATGGTAGACTTTGGAAAAAAGTTGCTTTTGACGTAATAGTATAAACGTCAAATTGTTATTAGATCAACATTTCGATAGTCTTAGCAGCGTTTTTTATCTTTTAATTGCCTTTTCAAGTGCCTTTATTATTTGAAGTAGTTGAAGTTGTTGGGGCATTTTGAAAAAGCAATTAAAAGATAAAAGACTATCAAAATGTTGATCTAATAACAATTTGACGTTTATACTATTACGTCAAAAGCAACTTTTTCACTGAATCATCGTTTCTTGTTCACTGTTATTAATATCTTAATTATTAGATATTAATACATCTGGTATTATAGTATTCTGGTATTTCGTCGATTTTAAAATAAACTAACTGTTTCTATCTTATTTTTTGTGTTAGAATGGGCATAATCAAGAGGGCTACTGATAACGTGTTGTAAAAATAAGGCAATTAAGGGCTTATTTTTTGGTATTTATTATAATTTTGCTAATATCTTCGGTTTGAAAGAAGATATGAAGATGCGGTTTCCGCTGACTTTTTAAGCTTTTACTACTCTTTACTATCTGCTAGTAGTAGCAGTAGAGTAAGAAACGCTCTTTTAAACGAGCCCTCGTTTATTGGATTCTGATAATCCAGAGAGAGAGAGAGAGAGTCCGGAGTTATTAACATTTAAATAACGATAGATCTAACCTTCCCCCACTTTATTTTACCAGATAGGGGAAAATGGCTCTAACAAAAAAAATCCAAAATTTACTGAAGATTATGAAGCTATTATTTATAGTACTCATTATCTAGGCAAAATTCTGTAAAAATTCTATTTTCTTGTTTTCCATAGCAGTTGCGCCCTCTAACGACCGTTTTAGAAACTTGAAAATAATTTCCAGCAATTTCTCATAGCCCCTTTAGTTATAAATATTTTTTCCCGTAGGTCCTACGGCAAATACTTTCTGAGATACATCCGAGAGCTATTCTTAGTGGGACACCCTGTACGTGTATGATTACAGTTGAGGGTTGGAACCTTTGGGGTTTCGCTAACCATGTTAGCATCATCAGTAGATGACTAAAACTGTTTTAATTAAACTATTTTAATCATCTGCTGATGAAGCCAACATGGTTAGTGAAACGCTCGTCCATTGCTAAAGTGAAGTCTTTTGGTGTATTGCTGTTTTATGTTGATTATGATGATGTATACCACAGTATACTGTATAATATTATAGTGTTGTACAGGGTGACCCATTTTATCACAGTTTCTCTTTCGAGTTAGGGTCACCTTTTCTTCCTTATTAAGAGATACCGTAATCACAGCTGGTCCATTGTCTGTAAAATTACATATTCCGCAAAATTTCAGAGAAAACCTCCATAACTAAATCAGTCAGAGGATAGTTGGTTTATCGTTTTGTTAAATTGTTTTCAATGTTAAATTGACATTCGATATTGAATAACTTTTTAAGCCGACGTTGGATCGATGGGGACTTTTTTCCTCTTCTTTCTAATGGCTAACCCAAGGTAAACACAATTCCGCTTTGGCGGTGAATTTTGGTAGATTGAAATGTTTAATTTGACCGGAGTATATTGTGGCTTTTATCTAAATGAAAGTGGTGTGGTGATAAAAAATTGTCTGTGAATCTCCTTTCTAAAGTATTCAAGTGTTTTAAGTGTTGGGTGTAGAATAAAGATTTTATTTAAAACATATTTGTCCAATAATCTTCCAACAAGTTCGTCTAACGTATGTAATTTGAGACGCACAGCATCTCGTAAATCATTAATCGAGCATACACTTGAGACGGAGAATATAACTTTATGAGTCTATTACTGGCTGTACTTTCGGGTCGCCCTCAGGGGTCGGGTAAAGCGAGTGTGTGGCTGAAGGAAATATATTACATTCCAATTGGACCGTTGACTCTGTTCATGCTATCTTTACATTTATTAATTCTGATGCTTTTTGATGAAGCTTTGATGAAGCATCAGAATTAATAAATGTAAAGATAGTATGAAGAAGAGTCAACGGTCCAATTCCTTCAAGTTCTTTGTTCCTACTACTCTAGTGGCGGAAATCTAACTGTTACGCTCAGTTGGCTCTGACTCGGTTGGCTAGATTTTGCCACGCCCACTCGGTGCCCACTGAGCGAGTATATAAACGCTCAACTTGTAGATTGTACTTTAGTTTATAATCATCTGCTGATGATGCTAACATGGTTAGCGAAACGCGCGTCCAGTATAAAAGTAAAAGTGTTTTGGTGTATTGTGGTGATTTAGTGTTTTTATTTTGCTGTGTAACACCAAAGGTTCCAACCCTCAACTGTAATTTATGTCCAAACATAAGGAATATTTTGTTGATGATTGACCATAAAAATCTTAAAAATAAAGAAGTTGTCTAAAAATGTGCTACCACGGGCGGATATAGAAATTTATTTTAGGGGGGGGCCGGAATAAATTTTAGGGGGGCCCAAATAAAAGGTAATGGAGAATATGCTTTTTAGAGCGATTTTTAACCCAAAAGCCTATTATTTAACCCAATTTATAGATTTTAGGGGGGGCCTAGGCCCCATGGGCTCCCTCTCTGTATCCGCCACTGTGTGCTACCATACGGATATAGTATAATCCTTTATCTTTAATTTCCTTCTTCATTTGTGTAAACATACCTAGTCAGTTTTACATAAAACGTTAAATGCCGAACGCTATTTTGTTACTTTTTCGGACTAGTGAAATGGACTCTTAATAGTCTAAGAGCTGGCTACATAAAAAACCTTATCATCGTTACATGGCTAATTTTTTGTGTGAAGTATCCTTTTGTGTAGCCATTATGAAATAGTCATATCTGCCAGCGCGATCCCGGGGCTTAAAGCGGGGGCGGCCAATCGAAAGGGTGAAATTTTGACACTAAAAATATTATAAGATACATGAGTTATAATGGCGAAAATAGCTTTGATTTATTATTAAGAAACGTGGAAAATTGTTGGTAGACATTTTTCTAGTCGCTAAAATGCCGACAGGCAACGCGAAAGAGGCATGAAATTTTAAAAATTATTAAAAAATGAAATTTGAAGAATGAACAAAATTATGGCATATTTGCATGCTGATTGGTGAAATGTCATATTTATTTATTTTAAAAGCCGTATGCAAAAGGGCAGACAAAAAGATCGTGGCTCAATCAACTGCAGACAGTTATCAAAAGCGCGATATTACCATAGTTTAAGGAAAAGAGTAGTTGCACTCTCGCAAATATTTTCTGCCAGTTTTTGCAAGCTGGCAGGTTGCAAAGCGTTTCAGTTGAATTCGGTTCGTCGAGCTGTGAGGTTCGAGCGTTGCGTCCGAGCACAGGGATGGATTGACAAAAAATGAGTGCCTTACTGTGCGCTGCTATTAATTGTGGAAATAATTCAAAAAATTGTTCTTTGAGTCTTTTTAGATTTCCATCGGATATAAATCGGCAAGCTGATAGTAATTATCAATTAACATTTAATTATATTTGTTTATTTTAGAACCTGAGATATTATGTAATTAATTAAATGTTATTATTTTTTTTAGCATATGTGCAGATTTTAAAAATAGTTTTTTAGATATACAGGTTGTCTCAAATATGCACATGAAAATATTTTTTGGTCAGGGGATTTTCCATAAAATTTTCATTTCAATAATAATTTACGAGGTAATTTATATAAATTGGTTTTTGAAACAATTTTAGAGTAAATATTTTGTACATCTAAAGTCTCCGCAAATTATTCATATTTTTTAATTGAAAGAATTTTATAATAGCATAATCTCTTATAAATTTAGTGGACTGTATTTTTTCATGTTTTTTTTATTTATTTTTTATTATAAGTGGTCATAATATATAACAATATTTTCAAAATATTATAGACAAAATATTGAGTTTATATTTGAGGGAAGAAAAGTGCCACACCTAGCTTTAAACCACCGTAAATATACAGGGTGGCCCATTTGTGCGAGGAAATCCAATATCGTCGTCCTTGTCGAAGATGTGAAAAAAGTTTTATTCATATGTTTCAAGGTTTATAAAGAGGTGTATCCTAAAATATTTTGTTATATACAGGGTGTCACAAAAAAAGTTATGGTAAAGTTAGTTTGATTTTTTTTATTATTTTACATCATTCTATATACATTATTCTATATTGGGTATTTTTTATGGCGTCACCAAAATCGCAATATTTAAAATGGTATATCTCAACTTTTTTAAATGCGACATTCTGTATATTATTTTTCTGTCAGATGCAGAATTAAAAAGTGAACATTTTTTTTATTAATTTAAAGTGTTTCTAAATTTTTACCGCTGTCGCAGATATTCGCAGTATTATATTACATATGGTTCTTTCAACAATAAATTTTTTTCAATGCCACCTAATATGATCTTTGTCTGTCTTGTCTTGTCAAAAAATGTTCACCTTTTAATTCTACATCTGAAAGAAAAATAATATACAAGGTGTTACATTTAAAAAAAATGAGATACAACATTTTTTAAATATTACGATTTTGGTGACGCCATAAAAAATATCCTGTATACGATAAAGTAAATTTTTCTACACGAATTTATTCCGATATCCTTCATGTTTAAGAAAACATAGCGAAGTATTAATAAAGTTATGTTCACTCTAGTTTTTTACCACTTTTCTTATATAATGTTTTTAACCAAAGTTTTAGTAAATAAGAAATAGATTGGCAACACCGCAGTGTGCTTTAAATAAAGACAGTGTACTATAGCATAATTTTATGCCGAATCCAGTTATCGACAGAAAATTAAACTTGCTTTAAATCAAAAAAATGTCGTAGAAAATCTCCGAAATAGATAATAATATAAAAATATGTCATTATATAATTTTTCCGCATTTCTTCCCATCAGATGATTTTCAGATACAGAATAATTGTTACCTACACGAAATGTGAAAATATTCTGTTTTCAAGCAAGTTTTTATTCGATGATCATTTTTTTATTTTATTTTATTGTGAACTCATATTTTCCTAAATACATATCTGTGAAACTATGGCGAGTGCGACGTCTATACTTTGCCTAGTTAATAGGCCACGACTATACAGCTACGTCGTCGGCTACGGAGGCGAAAACAAGGTCATATAAAGTGGCAGAAAAAGAACAAAGGATTTGACAAGGAGTAAAACTACTAGTTTCCTTATAGTATGATATTACTTTAGCGCTTTCAGGGAACGCTCGCCGCCTCGTCCATTTAAGTATAGATAAATCATATAATATACGATTAGATAATAATTATAAATATAGTTTTTTATTATTTCAATAACGATTTTTTTGTCTCCCCTTTTGCATACGGCTTTTTAAATTAATTAACAATAAACATGACATTCCACCAACCGACATGCATGTATGCGATGATTTTCTTTTGTCAAAATTCTATGCCTCTTTCGCCTTGTCTGCCGGCATTTCAGCCACGAGAAAAATGTCTGTCAACAATTTTACACGTTTCCTAATAATAAATAAAAGCTATTTGGCAATTATAACTCGTGTACCTTATAATATTTTTAGTGTCAAAATTTCACCCTTTCGATTGGCCACCCCCGCTTTAAGCCCCGGGATCGCGCTGGCAGACATGCCTATTTCACAATGGTTACACAAAAGGATACTTCACACAAAAAATTAGCCATGTAACGATGATAAGGTTTTTTATGTAGCCAGCTATCGGTCTATAACATAAATCTTTAAAATAGAGAAACTTCGGTAACGCTTGTTATACATATAACGGTGTTTATCTCGACACCGGTGTTGATCTGGACACCGGTGTTCATCTCGATACCGGTTTTGACTACGACCCCAGTGTTTGGTAAACGGGCAAAGAAGAAAAAAATAAAAATGTGAATTAATAAGTTCAAAATAAACCTGATAATAATATTGTCGTATCGGTGCTTATTTTTATCGTTTATTAAAGCGCACTGACTTTCACTTAAAGCTTTCCAATTTAAATATATTTTTTTGCCAGTCTAATCACTAAAATAAAGTGGAAGCGTCAGATAAACAACTATAAAGTAAAAAATTGTTTGTCAGAAATCAAAAACAAACAGTAAACAAAACAAAACATAAGGAAAAAAAATCGTAGCTGTAAAATAAACTAAAAAATATTACATTAAAAAAAACTAAAAAAATTTCACTATTTTTGCAGCAAAGTTAAAACATACTGGATCACCAACGTCGGAGGAAAAAATCAGAACAAGACCAATGACTTCAATTACTTACGGAGTATTAACATCTCAAACTACCGAGGCCGATATAGATAGTGAAGTAGAATCAAAGAAAATTGCACCCATCGAAGACATCAAATTTGAAGCAAAAAAATTGTGTGGAGGTTCAGAAGACCCGGAATTGGAAGGACAAACATCTTCAGGAGCTTCTTCAGTATCTCACCAAAGAGACATACTGGACGAATGCATTGAAGACCTGGAGAAAATGGAATCGTTTTGGAACTTGTACAATAAAGTAGAAATAGACGTAATGGAACTTAAAGAAGAGAGGAGTGTTTTGCAAAAAGAAAACAAACAACTTAGAGGATTTATCAGGGCAGTGTTGGAAGCAGCTGCGTTAGCTAAAACTATACCTGATAGCAAAGTATCAACTAGAGTACCGTCTCAAAGAGCGGCCTATTCTGCACCTTTAAGAAGAATCCTACTTAATTAATAGTTAACAAAATTATAGTACCAGTTCAAGTATTTTTTAACTTTGATCTTATCTTATTAAGTAGGTATCTTTAAACTGTAGTTATATTTAATTGCTAATTGCTTAGGTGTTTGTGTTTTCACTCACAGAATGGATTTTTTCAATTTCAGGTGTGCTTTTACATTTTATATCTTTGTTGTTAGTAACAATACAGGGTGCTACAAATTCGGGGTACGAGCATTGGTATCTCGGTAACCGTAATAGATACGAACATGGTTAAATTGGGGCAAAGTTGCGCTTTAGGATGTTCACTAAGATGCCATCAAAAAAGTTTTCAAAATTTCAAGGATTGCTGAGTTTTTTGAAAAAAAAGAATTTTTTTGAAAATCAATTGTATTTTTTCCTGTCGTTACTTTTCAGAAAATCAAAAAATTAATTGCACATTCGCATAGCCACTTTATTTTTTTTTAGCTGATAATTTGTGAGATACAAAGGCCGACTTAATTTTTTGAAATACGGACCTGCATTTTTTATTACCGGTTTTGAAAGAACTCGGTCTCCTGAGTACAATGATATGCCACGCTTATTTTTTTTTGTTTCGGACATTTAAACACAATTTATTTAAACTAATTTCAAGTCTAGCTCTGTTTTTTTAAATATAATCTATTCATTGTTACCTAGTTACCTACCTACAGATACGTATAAAGTATAAAGAAAATATACGGAGGGTACCGCTTAAATTCCTGTCCCGATATTGAAGAATGGCTATAGAATTTCAATGCATTTCCTACATAAATCTATCCTTGTGTTGTAGGAGGTTTGACTAAACAAGGATGAACTTATGTCAAAGAGTAGATTTGCTTATGTCTTGAAACCATTCGACTCGATTTTCTGTCCTTCAATACTGGGACGTAAATCCTCTCATTGCTCTTATGGGGAGGCCGTCGTATATTTTAATTTAACCGTATTTGCCACCTATGTTACCCTAACCTAACCTAATCTATTCATTGATATCTACAATATTGATAAGCTTTAAAACTTAACAATGACGTGGGGTAAAACATTGAATATGGAAAATCAATAAATCAAATTATTTTAAATAATATTATAATAATTAATATATTTATAGGAGTTATTTTCATAGGTTTATAAGATCTTTTATAACTTTTACAGCTGTTTTTTGATTTATTATAAGTTTTTAAACAAACTGATTTTTTTAATTTAAATCCATGATTAAAATAAAAAATCAGTTGATTTAAATCTTTACACCCTGCGGAAAATGCAGCAGTATTTTCTACAATTGTGGGGTTTATTACAATTTATTTTTTTCCCGCGATAAGTCAGTACCCATAAAAAAGTATTGTATAAATAATATTAATTAATTTCTTTAGATATGACGTGTAGAATCTTATTATGTGAAATAAAAACTTTTACTTATCTATTAAAGGAAATGTTGTTTTTGCCGGAAGTTGGTCTAACCGCAGTGTTATATAATGTAGATATAATCCGATTGTATTAATATTTAGCTACATGAAACTAAATTTTAAAAAAAGCAAAATTCTTACAACAAAATTGAAGAATTAAAGACAAATACAGTAGAACTTTAATAATTCAGACACATATGGAATTAATGGGGTATCCGGATTACTTTAGGATATTTTATGATTCTATTGTTTCATTCTTTTATTGTTTCAAAGCTAAACTCAAAAATTTAAACACATTTTTTTAAACAAAATGCCACACACTTTATAAAAAACATTAAATTTTTATTTTACTTATTATACCTACATACACTGTGGCAATTTTAAAATTTCCCACTCTGAATATCTTTCTTGCAGTTAAAAATATGAAATATCGGAAAGACACGTCAACTTTATTTGAAAGGGATACACTTTAAGTAAATATTTTTAGCCTTTTTCTTTCAACCCCCTAGGACGGGTAGATGTCACCCTTAAATAAGAATGGGGTTAGGTTAGGTTAAGTGGCACATCGTTTTAAAGGGCGTTTAATTCTCTTTTCAGTGGAATCCAACTTTGTTCGTTTTTGTCCAGAGGTTTCCGAATAATCGCGCTTCCAAATGGCAGAAACAATTAAACATGCATGAGATTTTGGTTATCAGGCTAGTGTTTACACAAAAATTATTGCAATGGGTCTCCTTGTAGTATAAATGATTAGAAGATTGGGTGGCAACATGGACGGCCATTACATTTTTCCTAGGGGGGTCGAAATACTATCATCATAAACACTCAAATTCGAGTGGCAACTTCCAGGGGCGGGTTTGTTAGGCTAACACGACCTTCCCCTACCTCCCCTTCGCTGCAGACCTGGGTGGCACCATTTGAAACTTTATTTCGGGATTGGCAAAGTAACCTCAAACAATTTACATCAAAAAGTAATCTAAAAAATAGTACCTATATAGTTAATTTACGTTTATTCGATGTCGTTATATATAGATGTTGTTCATTTTCATTATCACTGAAATTCCACAAAAAGCCTTGCTATTCTATCAACAAATTCTAAAAATACGTTGTTGTCTTAACAAAAAAACATGTTCAGCAAATTTAAAAGATGTAGCCAAAACAGGAATATTACTATTGTTAATTCGCTTTTGCTTGTTGGGCTGTTCAGTGATAACTTTTATTAAGTGCATAAAGTTTGAGAATGGTTTATTCTCTTCAAGAAAGGAACTGAAATTATTTTCACTTATGAAGAGGTTGGAAAGTGCACGCGAAGGACGGCATTGGTTTTCAATGAAAGAAATCAAAATCGTGTGTCACAGATATGTGCTGGATTTGGTGGCAAAGTTCTCCGAAACTGGTTCGGTGAGTAATAGAAAAAGAAATAATCTACCAGTGATGAATGAAGGAGCTCAAATTGATGATTTGGTTATTTGCTGTAGAATATCACACGAGACTGTAAGAAAAACACTGAAAATGCATAAATTCCATCCATACAAAATGCAGATACTTCAAGAACTCTATGACGATGATTTTGATAGAAGAATAGTTTTGTGAAGTCATGAGTCGTCAAGTCAACACCAACCCTAAAATTCTGCCAAATATCTGTTTTGAACCGATGAATGTTCATTTTCTCTAAATGGAAATGTTTACAAACAAAATTGTCGATATTGGAGTGACGAAAAACCGCATGTTTTTCGAGAAGGACATGCACAATATCCCCAAAAAGTTAGTGTTTGGGCTGGTATTCTTGGTAATATTGGTCCTTTACTTATTGAAGGAAATTTGACAGGTGATCTGTATCTTAATATGCTTCAGGAGACTATTGATCCTCTTATCACCCAAGAGCTAGAAACTCAAATTGATGCAGAGGGTAATCCAGTTTTACAGACCTGGAGCTTTTGTTTTTTTAAAAATGAAAAATAATTTTAAAAAACACATTTTTTGAATAAAATATTTACATGAATTTCTCTATCAATAAATTGCATAGGCTTGGTTATCAAACCGTGTTCCCGTAGATTACTTAAATATCTATAAATTTTCTAAAAAAATAAGAATTAACACATTTTTTGAACACAACAAAATAATATTAACTAAACAAAACTAGAAAACGTCATTTTTACTGCATCATAAGCAAATAAAATTAATACGTAGCCAAGAGTCATAATTCATGATTTCCCTGGGGTGTGCCCAGCAGTAGCTGGGGGGGCGGTAACCCCGGGCTCCCCTGTAGTTACGCCAATGTTGTTTCTGCAACTTTGAAAGGCGATTATTCGGAGAGCTAGAATTAAACGCCTTTTAAAACGATATGCCACTTGACATCCATACCCATTTAAGATTGTAAGGGTGATCTACCCCTCCCAGGGGGTTGAAATAAAAAGGCTAAAAATATTCATTTAAAGTTTCCTTATGTAAATAAGTGTTGAAATATAATGAAACATGAGTTTTTGGTAGTGTTTAATGACCGGACAGCAAAAATTCAACACAGACCAGATCAAAGGAAATAAAATTTGTCCGACCACTGGTCAACGCTCAATTTAGTATATTTGAGAGGTCGGACAGTAGCCTCTTTTCGACGTCATTTTCATTTGAGATTTTTTATAAGATTTTGGTTATTTTCAAGCATGAAGCCTAAAGTAAAAGGGAGTTTTCATCAATACAATAAAGATGCATTAGAAAAAAACAGTCCGAACTGTCCGAGAAGAGGGAAAATCGCGTAAAACATGCAGTCAGTACAGGCACAAAATATTCGGTGGTACAAGATTCCAAGTCAACAGTAAAGGACCGTATTAAAGACAAATAAGCGATGTTTGCAAACGAATGGAACCAGAACTTGTTTTAACTAGAGAAATTGAAAAAAAAATGTTACCTGGATTGAAAACTTCGCCGTTTGTGGATTTCCAATAAAAAAAAACATTTGTTACTTAATACAGTTGAAAACATTGTATCTAGAAAAAGAAAAATTGTAGAAGTTTTCCTAACCAAGCTAAGCTTTTCATTCTTACATATTAATTGACTTTTTAAACCTTATTATAAATGCCATCAAGCACTTTCAGCTTAAAGCTTGATTTTTGATTATACTTAAACGATCCTTTCTTTTGGGAATTAAGTTTTGTATGAAGACAAAAGACAAAACAATAGGTAATAATCACACCATTCTCACACACACCTCCTATTATAAAACTGTTTGGTTCGATCTATTCATAGCCTTTTTTCATCCGTTCTTTCTAGAGTTAAGTTCGCTCTGTAAGATCTAGTTTTAAATAAAAATAAAGTACAATTACTCGTGTTTTGTGTTTCTGAACGCATCCGAACAAAAAAAATTATTTCCATATTTCCATGCCATCAATAAAGAAAATTTATAATCAACAATTTAAACTCAGCTTTTTCTAAACCGACCACTGGCATATTCGCCCTACCATATTTCATATTTTTTGTCGTTAAGTTTTCTCATTACTATTAAATTTACTGTTGCTATTTTATTTACCTTATTTATTCATTTTCCTCGATTCATAGAGATGCCTATTTATACAGTCTATCCGTTCTGCAGCTACGGGGTATCCGTGAGAGGAAACGATATTCTTTCGATGTTTTCCGCAAAAAATTAGACGACGCGTCCCATCAATAAAAATTCGACAAATTTGCAAGTAGCCAATAAAATGAATGGGCGGAGAGATTTGCGGTGACATGATCGTCAAGTCGACGTATAAAATATATTGCTGTTTATT